TTGAGATGCTGAGGTTGCACATAGTGCCGAATTCCATCATATCCGAAAGAGATCCTCATTTCACTTCCCAATTTTGGAAAGCCCTTTATGAATCCTTAGGCACCAAACTAAACTCCAGTACCGTTTTCCACCCTCAGACAAATGGCCAGTCGGAACGTATTATTTAGATCTTAGAGGACATGCTTAAGTACACTATCTCGAGGGTAATTGGGAGGTCTACCTGCCATTAGTGGAGTTTACGTACAATAATTATTTCTAATCGAGCATTTAGATGACTCCGTATGAGGCCTTATATGGGCACAAGTATAGAACTCCACTTTATTGAATAGAACTAAGGGTAAAATAGTGGGTTCTGACTTTAATATAGAAACTGAAGAAAACGTTTGATTAATTTATGGTCGATTGAGAGAAGCCTCAGATAAGTAGATATCTTACGCTGATCTGAGATGTAAGGATATCGAGCTTGTAGTGGGGGAGAAGGGGTTCCTCAAGGTTTCCCCATGCGATAAAGCACTTCATTTTGGTCGTAAGAGAAAGTTGACCCCATGATTTATAGGACCTTACGAGGTACTAGAGAGAGTTGCACTAGTGGCTTACCGGTTAGCTCTTACCACTAGAGCAGGAACGCATCCACAACGTGTTTCACGTGTCTATGCTTTAGAGAGATCGTTCCAATCTTTTCCATGTCATACCCCTAGAGCAGATTAAGGTGAGTTTGCACATGACCTATTAAGAGGAGCCGATTTAGCAAGAGATGTAAAGGAGCTAAGTGTAACCAACCCACTTTTTTTTAGAGATATGAGCCTCAAGTAATGTCCTAAACTCATTCTTATGCTTCTCAACAGAATTAGTAACTCTTGTGTTTAATTCCTTGCCTAGTGATAAAAGTTGGAGAAATCTCCAAGGACAAAGAAAAACATAAGTTGTGGTTAAGTTGAATGAGTTCTAGAGCTTAAGAAATCAAAGGTAACACACTCCTAACTCAACTCTACCACATGTAGAACACTAGGCGTGTTTGGTTAACATGAATGAGTTATTAAGCATGTTCATGGTAGATTCAACATTTGGTATTTTTTGGTATGTTTATGGATTGTGACTCCTTTTAACATACCGTTTGGGAACCTCATTATGGTTTTTGGCTGAAATGGGAGGCATTTTTGGGTTTGAGTATCGGTACTGGAAGAAAAATACTGATATTGTTATCAGTTAGCTTAAAAGAATATAGTTTAAAGAGGCAAGTATCGTTATTCACCTATAGAGTATTGATATTGTTAGCCCAATTTTGATACTCATAGGGTAGTATTGATACCGAGCACACTTACAAGATTCGAGTAGATAATTTTGGTATCGGTACTCATGGGAGTATCGATACTGCTAGTATAGGTATCGATACTAAAGTATTTTTCAAAAACCTCAAAGCCAAATTTTGTATCGATGCTAAGGATAGTATCGATACTCAAACTAGAGTATCAATACTAGCACTTTGCTCTCAATTTTCAATAGTCAGTAGTACCGATACCTAGAGGTTAGTATCGATACTAAAGGTCTTAGTATTAGTACCCACATACAGTTTTGGGTAAGAAACCCAAATGTTTAAGGGATAGGTTTGAGGGGCCCAATAATACCATAACACCATGAAATAAAACTACAAGTGAGAACAATAATTAACTCAAAACAACTAGCAACAACTAGGATGACATAAAACTATCCTTGTTTGATCCTCGGGAAACAATCAGGACACCCGAGTTACTGTAGCAGATAACGATCGTACGATTCGAATATATCCCAGTAAGTGCCAAGGAACCTTAGTTGCCAACTGCGCGCAGATGCCCTAAGACTCAAGGAACCTCAACATTTCATGTTAGTATTCTTATGTCTTCATACATATGCCACTAGCATGCACATTTAGTGAATGCATGTAGTACAATACAATTATTAGTGTGGCATTGAGCTTGTAAGCTTAGCGTTCAGAATGTGTTTTCGTGCACAGGTTCTTAGGAGACTGTCCGTGGACCGTTATCGTCATCAGATATTGCATATCACTTAAGGCTTCATAGTATGTCTTGATTTATATTGGAGGGCATGTACTATTGTAGACCCCTTTTATTTTTAGCCATAACTCTATTTTTGTATTAAACTTAGTATTGATATTATTTGGGATATTTAGGAGCTCCCCTTATTTGTAAACTCAGTTTATCATATTTTTATTTTATATTTCTATGAATGACTTTTTATATAATGGTTTACCATTGTTTTTTAAAAAAAAAGTTTGGGTTAGCCACTTCGGTGGTCCCGTGTGAATCCATTGATCTTAGGATTGGACTAGATTAGGGTGTTACGGTTATGTTCTAACTTTGAGAGTTGATTACACCCTAAACATTTTGAGGGTATTGAGTAAATTCATGCAAGAATGTTAAGTCTTGTTGCATTTGAAATTAATATATTAATGACATATTTTGATTTTTTCAAAAATTTATCATATTCATGATCTTCTACTTGATTGTTATTTTGGTTTAATATTTAATGTGGACTTTAATGTTCTGGTATTGTAAGATGTTAAACAAGATAATGGAATATAAATGATAAAGTTAGTATGTTGAATTAATGTATGCTTGAGGACAAACATTGAATAAGTGAGGGGAAATTTTATCAATGTTAAATATTGCATGTTTTTACTATTGTTTACTCATTTTATTCTGATATTACTACTTTGGTTTTATTTTGGATGGCTTATTTTCGTGTAGGAACTTCATTTTGATTATTCACCATAGAACCAACAGTTAAATGCAAATTCTTAATTTTTTTTTGAGTCGTGGCAGATTTCAATAGTTTAATCAACAACTTCTAGAAGCCGGGCTAGTCAGTATCTTCTAAAAGATGGGCAAATATTATCTTAAAGATTAAATTCAAAATTATTTTTGAATATAAATACCTGAGAAAGGTTATATAGGAGTTGAGACAGAATTCAACCACAAGACTTAAATATTCTTTATCTTTTGCAATAAACCTTTATTTTTAAATTTAAGATTTTTTTAGTTTGATTGTTTTATCTTTATTATTATCTTTTATTTAGGAATTAGTTATTTTATTTACTTAGAACTCTCGGATTTAAATACCCCTTGGGTTCAACAGTAGAACTCAAATTATAATTTATATTTCCTTAGTTGTTTATTGAAGTTCAACTTTCCTTTAATATATATATATATATATATATTATTTTCTTTTATAATGCTAAGCATGTTCCAATCCAAGCTTAGCCAAACACGAAATTAGCCAAAGGTTTTTGCAATAGCTCAACTTAATCGTGAGAATTGGGTGCACTTAACAACTTCGAGATAGAATTCTTCAGTTTTCTGGAAATTTGGAGTGAGGTTATTCCTTTAGAAGTCACGATGCCTTCACTTCAAAAAGATGTCGTTGACTTGAAGGTTATTTTGATTTACTGTTAGGGAGACAAATCAATTTATTGTAATTCTACTTCTTGTGAACAAACTTAGCGATTGTTTGTTAAAGCAATCAAATCGAGTTTGTCTCAGTGAGAGGCTATAACTCGAATCGGGCTTTTCCAGAACTTAAAGTTGTGTTGGTGCTAACAACGATAAACCTGGCTAGTCCAACAAATACTAAATTTCAGAGATAGACTAGGAATTATCAATTAAACGGAGAGAAAAATTAGCTACAAGAGTTGGGCCTTATTGATTGTAATCGGCCTGCCTTAAGGAGAGAAAATTTATTTCGATGATTGATTGAAATTGAGGCTAAGCAAAGCCTACGGCTAAATCTTCACAATTGAACTTTTCTACCTTATTTATTTTATTTATTTTTTTGTCATTTTTTCATCGGTTATTTATTTTTATTATTTTATTATTTTCAGTATATCTAAATCTTTTTTTACTTTTTAGTTAAACCCAAGAATCAAAATAAATAAATTTATCAGACTTTCTTAATTTTTATGGATTAATGTTTACTTCTTTATATTGTTTTCATGATTTATTTGACAAATTCTAGGCTTCTTATTTCGTCAGTCTGATCTTTCATATTTCATAAGCAATTCCATGAGAACATTCAACACCTGATTTTACCCATTCATGCTCATATCCGATATATACACGGATACACATACATGTTTGTGTATTGCAATTTTACTTGGGACACTTGAACTCTGTAAAATTATCTTTGATAAAAAAATATGGAAATGTAAAACTATTTAATATATTATTTGATAAATATATTTTAAGTTTAATTCATTTTATTTGAATGTATAAAATTATATAAAAAATGTAATTTATTAAATTATTTTTAATCATGAATAAAATAAAAAATTAAATTATATGAGTAAAAAGTTAAAAATGAAAATTTAAGAACTAATTATGATGATGACAACTTATAATAATTAATTAATTAAAAATATATATAAGTAAATGTTAAAAATGTATTATAATACACAAATGTTAAGTTTGCTGGTAACAATGATAATAATAGACAATTTTTAATAGTCAGATACATTTTTATAATATTTAAACCTTTCTTTACCTACATATTAAAAGATATTAAGCGCTTAAATATGCTTTCTCTTATATTTTAATGTAACAAAAATGTAGATACAATTACCACAAAATCGTATATTACTCGGGTAGTATGAAATTATTGAATAAATTAGATTAAATTTAGTCATTAGTCTCTATTTAAAGAACCAAAACTACAATTTATTGTTAACAAGTGAATTAATGCCAGAAATTGATCTATCAAATTTAACTGTTATTGTTTAGATCATGACTGAAAATTTGAATTTAAAAAAAATAATAAAAGAATTAGAAATATCAATTAAAATACATTAATTAATACCAGAAATTGATCTATCAAAATTAACTGTTATTGTTTGGATCATAGCTGAAGTTCAGAATTTAAAAAATAATAATAAAAGACCTAGAAATATCAATTTAAAATGCACTGATTAAATCCACAACTTAGTGATAATACATGAATTAATAGAAGAAATTGACCAATAAATAAATGGTACTTAGATTAACGGTTCCTTCATCATAACATAAGCAACACCAAACCTTACGAATGTGACAAATTATTGCAGCATTGTCAAAATTAAGGTTTTGCTCTTCATCAAATACAAAAGAAAGGGGAGTCTCCTTTTGGAGGAATATGAAAAACCATGAACAAGTGATCAACGCTTGACCCATTGGAAGCTCTTCCTTGCTTTCGCCTTCCCTGGTTTTTTCCTTTCCACCACACGTGAATCCCTTGTCAAGAACCCAGCTGGTACCACACATTAGAATTTTAGTTTAGTTATACCAGGATCATGACATCTAAATACAATTACAAAGATAACCAACAAAATGACCTTGCCAACTCTAAAAACGGTCTAGTCGAATATAATTGTATATAAACAAGGACACGTGACAACACAATTGTAAAAGCGATAATACCAGCTCTGAGAGGAGGACGTAGCTCTGGCTCAAAATTTTGCAAGGCCCTACTGATTCCCAACTGAATTGCTCCCACTTGACCTGTCACAGAAGATAAACAACTTTACTGAAAACAAGAACAAAACAACTCGGTTACATTTCAACTTTGGCAAAACGGGTCTTCAAGTGTTCGACATATGATTAAGTTAAAGTCATTGTGGCATATATTAGATGAGTCTTTCTTAGATTGGCACAGAAGGCTCAGTATCCTTGCCCCTGACTAGAACTAGAAGATTTCCAAAGTCCAAGCAGGGCTAAAGAGGCTCCAGTTTTTAAGATTCAGTGGCCTTTCACATTAACTATGAAGATTCAACAAACCGTATCTCATCACCTCAATGACAGGACAAAGTTTCATTATAATTTACGAGGAACGAGTATGGTATTATATGAATTTCAGTTAGAAGATAAAACATTTCTGGAGTGATCAAACATGTAAGGTGGACCTAGCATTCTTGCAAAATAACAGAGTAAAAACTGAAGATGTTTATTAGCCAAACCACATTAAGCCTGTACGTGCAAATGGTAATCAGCTTGCTACAAAAGGCTTCAGCTAGTTAAAACCTACCACATTACGTCATTGCAGTGGCAATAGCTCTTGCCACCATTTGACATGTGATCACGCAGTGTCAACAAGACATGGCCTTTAAGTCACATGTATGCCAAGTCAACGAATTAACAATTCTTTCATTTAGATCAACAGATTTTAATTGGTTAATTAATAATTTGAATTTTTAAATAGCAAGTAGTAACTAAGATATCAACCTCATTCACAAATTAATATCCCATGCATGTAAAGCATAACTCACACTTGCAGAAGCAAGCAACAAAATTGCTATCTATAAAATGAGAGTATAAAACACCTTAAGTTATTTGCTAATCAAATTCCCACATGGCAGGTTGCAGCATATTAAAAATGTAGAGTGTCTATCATTACAGAAGCCTCAAAAATACATAGCAAATATGTTGATAATGAAATTCAATTACTTGCATTTATTTTGTACAAAACAGACTGAACTTCTACCATGGGCATATGTTATCTTTTGTCTTATTCTTAACCTATCTCCTTCTAAGTAGAAAGCTTTCAGTATTACAAGTATAACTGGCTTAAGGTAATCAATACCCATGCACAACTTTTCACTTAGATCCCACACATCATAATAAAAAGGCTTCAGCAAGACCAGAACAGTTTATAATAAGTGGATGCTGAAGGGAAATTTAATTACCAGAACAATTTATTATATTTTTATGCACTGCTCGATCTTAACAATAGTGACATCAGAAGCGAAACAGGAGAATAGATTCAACCTCAATCGTCAAACAAAATAAGTGTGGGATGTTGCTAGTGAAGTTAGTCTTTTAAATGTTTAATGAAATAATGAAATGAAGTGCAATTCCAAGGACTTAAGCTTACCAGAAATACCACCTCCTTTAACAGTGCATTTGATGTCCCAAAGGCCCAAGGTCTTGGTTTCTGAGAACGGCCGAAGAAGAGCAGCACGATGATCAAGCATTGGGAAATAGACATCAAATTCTTTCTCATTGATAATGAATTTGCCATCACCGGGTTGAACCCAAACACGGGCAATACTATATTTCCTTCTCCCAGTCCCATAAGCCCTTCCTTTATCGTCTACTTGCCTTACTCTTTCTTTGGCAATCTCCTCCAGCTTCAGGCGCTCTATTTCAGCTCTTGTTGATTTCCTTGTATTCTTTTCATAACGCATGTCTTCTATAACACTTAAAGGTGGCAATCCGTCCACCCCTTCCAAATCCTTTAGAGCAATCAAACTGTCGAGCATGGCATCTGTGATACCGGATGCCACAATAAGGTCCCCAAATGCACGATTCTGACCTGCAAAAGGGAACTATCTTTCTTTTAACCCCTAAAGATAATTCAAGCAAAAGAACGGTACCCATCTTCTCATTACACAAACCAAAACACCAAACAATAAATTTATAAAATTGTTGCTCTTTTGCTTTTTCTCACTTCTAATCCTACTCGTAATTCTGATAGACAAGCACCCATTCAACACCACCGAAATATGCAGCAAATGCAATACTAAATACTCAATCTGTTCTACTAAATTTGTATTTATTACCATTTTGATAGTCAAACTTTTTAAACTTTGATTATAATTATTTCAAATATTTTAAATAATTAAATTTTATAAAATAAATTTTCAAGGGATAATACTAGTGGGACAGAAAGAGTAATACAGAATAGGCCAAAATACGATTGTTTGCAAAACGATTATTTGCTCTTAATTTGCAAACAATTGCAGCTTGATCTCAATAATTTTGTTAATTGCAATGCCCGAATAACCTTGAATTCAATAGTTCCTGTCCTACAAAATGCAGTAGCAATAAACTGATATAAAATCTATATATAAAAACAGGCGAAGAAAGCTAGCCTTTGAGAACGGCAGTAAGATGTTTCTCTTCTTCTTCAAGCTTCTTCCGCTCCTCAACGTCCAATTCAATACTAGTCCCGTCAACGGTTTCGCCAACAGCACGTACTCCTTCATCTTTCAAATCGAACAAGCCATCATCCTTCTCTTCTTCTCCAAAGCTCCACGCTTTCTCCTCCCCTCCATGAAACCAATCCCCTTCCCCACTCTTCTTATCGGTTTCATCGGAGAAAATATTACCAAACCTTCCGTCACTTTCTTGGGAAAATCTCCAGGGATCGGGAGACGAGTGATCATTTCTATCGTTATTGTTGTGGTTGCCGTTGGTAGAGAGGAGACGGAGGAGGGAAAGTGGAGGGAGCTGAGAGTAGGAGGGAGACGGCGGGGTTTTGGGGAAAGGAGGGGCAGAAGACGGAGATGGAAGGCTCTGGGGAGGAGACGAGACAACATTGGAGGCGAAGGAGGGTTTTGCGAGGAAGAGAGGGAAAGAGGCAACACAACCTCTTTCATTTTTTTTATTTGGGGCGGGGTTTTACAAAGTGGGGATTGCCGACCCGACCCGCTCCAATTGGAATACGATTGGGCCAAGTAAGCCCAAATATGACTAACGACAATTATTATTCAAGGCAACTTAATATCTTAATTATTAATTTTGTTCTTATATGATCACTCAGCTATTTTTTAATATCAAATTTATTTTCTTTTTAATTTTATTCTAATCATTTATTATTAAAAAATTATTAAAATTATTGAGGTGGTATTTTTTTTAATGATAGTGTAATATTATCTAATGGTGACATGTGAATATCTCAGTTAATTTTTAACAATAAATAATCAAAATGAACTAAAATTAAACAATATATACTATTTTAAAAGTAAAATATTTAGAAAACTAAGACGAAATAAAAATGTTATTAAAATATATTTTATCCTATTATTTATTTGCAAATGGCTTCTTTTATTTCCTTTTTAGAAAGAAAACAGGGCATTGAATTCATCAACCACGCAGCAATGGCTTAATCCCACTTTTACATATCCAAGACAACAATCGATATTATTATTATTATTTTTATGAGAGGAGAGGTGTTGCTCGAAATAGAATTTGAAATTAAGATTATAAATTTTGTTATTGTATTGTAATTTTAGATAATTTATTTTACTTTATTGAGTGATTTTAATGATAAAAATTAATATTATTTTTAGAATGAATTTATATTAATTTTATAAAAGTATATAAATATTTTTTATTTTTTTCTCAAATAAAGCTTAATATTTATTTTTTTTATTTAACATTTATACAAATTAAATATTGATGTCGATTTAATATTAATATATTTTAACTTGATTTAGTGGTTAAACAATTGTTTATTTTGTTTAAGGTCCAGGTTTAAATCTCAAGTCAACCAAATTTATTTATTTTGTAGTTATAATTTAGTATGAGTTGTATATAATTGTTGGTGAAATATCTTAAGTAACATCTCTAGCTTAACGAGTACGTGCTTGGCCCCTATCTAAGGGGTTTAGGTATTGATTCCCTTTAGCTATGTTTGATTTTGTTTTTATTAATTTTGGGTGGTTATGAGTGATATTATTTGTTTTAAAAACTCTCAATCATTTAATAATGAAAGTTAAAATATCTTATAATTGTTAATGTTTGAACTCGATACTTTTAGGGATAATAATCATATATTTTAATCATTGATGTCGTTTAGTTCTTGAAATTAGGATAGAAAAAAATGTCTTGAAAACTAAAAAAAATATATTTAAAATATCACATCAACATAACCATTAAATTTTCAACAGGATGTCCAAATAAAATATCTTAAGTTAGGGTTAATTTGCTTTAAGTCCCTATAAGTTAGGCGTGTTTTTTACATTTTAGTCATGTGTAGTGACTATTTAATTTTTTAAAAAGATATGTGAATGATTATGTAATTTCCCCTTTTAATTTAACGTGTTACTTTTTAGGCTTAATTAAAAATGAAAAATTGTCCTTAGGTCCTTGTAGATTAAACGTGTTTTTTTATTTTAGTCACTAGTATGTTTGTTTTTTATTTTATTTAGAATTAAGTTTTAAAAAGTTGAGTTTTCGCATAAGATGCCTGATTACTCGAATCTATTGCTCGATTCTAAAATTATTTAATAATTAATTTTTCTAAAAACTTTAAGTTTAATAATCCATATACTTTAGAAATTATCAATTTAGGTCCTTAAACTTTTAGTCTCTTAGACCCTGGTATTTTAGTTATTTGACCTTTTTAGTCCTTGAACTTCGATTAATGTTTTAATTTTGACATAATTAAATAGGTTAAATAGACCTCCACTTTTAGATAGATTTTAATATAGTCCCCTAATTTAGGGAATAATCTGAGACGACCCTCGCATAAATGCTCAAGGGACCAGCTCTATTCGATTCAATAATCAGTTTAAAAATCAAACAGGGTTAATATTAGAACATACACTTATAGGTTTGAGCCTTTAGGTACTTTAAGTTTCATAATGTGATACTTTAAGCTAGAAAAAACCTTAATTTACTTTTAGTTTAATTAGGATAAATAAAATTTGTTTGATCGTATTTTTTTTAACCCTAAGGAAATGTTCTCTTATTAGAGAATTAATAGTATATCTCTCGCAATCATGCTCAGTATGTAACCACTTGTGATTCCCGAAATAAGTCGTCATCCTTTTCAAAATCGCATCATAATTTTTAAAATTAAGGTAATGTCCAGTTATTAGGCATAATAGTTGAGCTCTAGCGTTTATGCTAGGGGCGAATGCTACCAGCCTTAATAAATGAATACCATTTTCAACTTCTTGCGTCCATAATGATTTTTAAATTAAATAAAGATTTCTGATTTTAAATATAGGGTAACCAACTAGGTACCAATTTTTGGGCTCTTGTGGGGGTGCTAATCCTTCCCCATGCGTAGCTGACTCTTGAACCCAATTTCTGGATTTTCGCAGACCCAAAACTCAGTATTTTAATAAAAATGTTTCATTAAAATCACCTTGTTTTTTGGTGTCCCAATCGCAACTTAAATGATTGGTGGCGACTCCTCATATTTCGAGAATCTTTTCAAAGAGCAAACCCCCGAGTCGGTATCGGTCTTTTCCTCGCCTGAGCAAAAAATGGTGTCGACAACTTGGCTACTCCTCTGGGGACTTTTGTTTTTAAACAAATTGAGAATCGAGACACGAGTTGGTTACCTTATATTTACTATTTTGGAAATTACGAGTTTGATCTTATTTAATTTACGGTTCATTATGTTATTTCAAAAGAAAAACAGGTTTTCTCTCTGATTAATGCTTACACTTTTGTGGAATTATTGAATATTATTGCATATCATAGCTCTAAACTCAAGCTCTAATCTGATTTACCTTAGGGAGAAACGTCACACCTCACGATGAGCATTGGGCTTTCTTGTGTGGGTTTGATAAAGTACCTCTGGAAAACATCCTAAGTTGTCAATCCAGATATCAGATATGAGGTATGTTTTTAGTGGTGTGATCCCTTGAGCTGAACCAGATTCACAAGTCTGTAATGGGCCAGAATCAAGGTCAACCTCTACGGGTTGTAAAAATTGCTCGGGAACCTTTGCTAGAACCCTGCCACATATAGAGAATTTAGAAAACCTACCCCACTAGAGACATGTGGATAACCTAGAAGAGCTATAACTCATGCAATTAGGATTTAATTTTCTTTGGTGTGTTTTGCATTCGATTCTTTAAATTTTTATTAATTATTCTTTGATTTTTATGAATTAATCTAATGTTACTAACTTGTCTCTTTGTTTCCTTGATTGCATGTATCGTTTCCATTTTATGTCATATAATTGCATAGAAGGTATTGATTCTCATATTACCTAGTTATTGTAAAAAGAGCTTAAGGAAGTAATGTTTTCTGATAGGACTGAGAACGCGATAAATTTTCAGACCTAGTCTGAGTATGGGTAGACATGGTTTGGGATAGTATTCACTCCCGAAGAGTCAGTGTTTCCAGAGAAGGTATTGTCAGTGTCAGGCAGGCGCATTGGTTTGAGTTATCAAGAATCTGGGCTAGCTGGGATGAGACATAAAAGATATTGTTCAAAGAAGTTTACGGTGACATCATCGAGTTACTGACGGTATCGATAGATGTAGTGGTGGTTTGATCCTTGGTTGGGTGCTAGAATTTGACTTATCGTTGCTTCACTTTCGACAGAGTAGACATGACCCCTACCCTGGAAGAATATACGGCTCTGCTAAACATCCTAAATGTTAGGAGGCATTCCCTTTACACCAAGGTGATCCGATCCAAGGCGTTCACAACCAAGATAATTACACTGACGGGAAATACCAAGGAATGAGTTGTCTGAAGAAGCCACAACCTTAAAGGTTTTCGTAATCCCGGAATCAGTGGAAGAGCGGCGCATCATAGAGATGATGATAGAGCTCGAGAAATTAGGGGATAGGGCTAGATATTATATTTAGTTCTTGTGGATGTACTCTCTTTGACTAAGTTCTTAGGCATTGTGTGTTGTTGAGAAATTTTTCTAGGAACTAAGTTATTTTGGAATCAATATCGGTTGCATTTGCATTTTCATGTTTTTTTCTAATGTTTAAATCTTAATACTTGCATTAAAATAATTCATTCATTTAATAATTCCCCAAATAATAAAATAAAATTTCTGATCATTTGTAGTGATCATGGAATACACCTCACACCCATAAGGTACTCGTAAATCAACCAAGAAAATGGAAGAGAGACTAGCAGGATTGAACAAGACCACAGGGAAGCACAAGATGAAATGAGAGAAAGACTAAGTAAAATGGAAGCAGAAATGACAAACTCATAACTTGGTTTACTGTAAAAGATCGAAACATATTCAAGAAGCATTAAATGGATGAAAAATCCGCAATTGACCAACCAGTGCCATCCGATCAAGAGCCCTCGCATCCCCCAGGTTTTGAGACATAATCGTCGCATCCTGCTGGGTTTAAATCCAACCCCCAACACCCACTGGGATTTACACCGGACCCCCGCATCCTCTCAGTTTCACACCAGTGCACATTTCTGTTAGATCACCAATTCTGTAAAAAACTAACCCCGAAATCTACGTGGCTAATCAAAAATACCACATTGAGTCCGTATTCCAAATGAATTACCCATCTACTGTTAGGGTAAGGCCTGTCAAATCAGGCGTGGAGGAGCTACCACTTGACTTTCATGAGATAGCAGAAAATGAAAAGGCTAATAGCGAGATAACCCATTAGTTGAAAAGTCTGGAGGAAAGGTTGATGTCAGTAGCAACGGAGCCTTTCTACGGAATGGACGCAAGAGAGCTAAGCTTATTCCCTGATCTCATACTGCCCTAAAGTTCAAAGCACCATACTTCAAAAAATACGACATAACCACTTGCCCATCTACTTACCTCGCCATGTTTTGCAGGAGAATGACGGGATATACTGAGAATGATAAGCTTTTGATACATTGCTTTCAGGACAATTTGATTGGATCGATGGCAAAAATGGTACAACCAGTTAACCAAATCCCACATCAAATCATGGAGGGATTTGGCCCGGACATTTTTAGAGTAGTAGCGTCACATCACTAACCTGGTACCTGACAGGTAGACACTGCAAAATATAGAAAAATGACACAACGAAACCTTTAGGAAATACGCCCAAAGGTGGCGTGATGTGGCATCACAAGTGCAACCCCTATTGCTGGAAAAAAAGGCTAAAGTTATTTATGTGAATACCCTGAAAGCTCCGCATCTGGGGTATTTGTTAGGAAATGCTACCAAGAACTTTGTCGACCTAGTCATTTCTGGTGAGCTAATCGAGAATGCCATTAGGAATAACAAGAGTGAAAGAGGGGAAGGGTTGAAGAAGCCCTATTTTAAGTAGAAAGAAAACGAGGTGAACCACGCAAGCACTTACCACAAGAACTGCATGGCTAGTGTTATAATCACCCAACTTAGGGTAGAGAAGGCAAACACCAATGAAAATAGGGGACCGAGAAGGGAGAACACGAGACCAACTTTCTCACCGGTTCCAGTGCCATACTAAAAAATCTACGCCTCGCTCTTGAAGGCAGATTTAGTACGCCCCTATAAGTTTACTTCGCTACAGTCACCTTACTCTCACTGGTATAATGCCAACGCCCACTGCGAATACCATGCAGGGATCGTTGGCCATGATATTGAGAACTGCTTGAATTTTAAGAGGGTTGTACAAAACCTCATCAACACTAGAGATTTGGAATTCAAAACACCATCTACGAATGCTCACTTCGTGCCCAATTACAAGGGAAATGAGTCAATATGATTGATGAAAGGGAGATCAGGAGGACAAAAAGAGGTGTATCAGAAGTCAAAACTCCTTTCAGCTGAGTGTTCAGGAAGTTGTACACATCAGGAATGGTTAGTGGTAATCCCTAGCTGAAGCCATTGAGACGTGAATCATATTGTAAGTATCACCAAGGGAATGACCACGACATCCAGAGTTGCCACAAATTCTGAGGATTACTTCAGGAGATAATGAACAATGGGAAAGTAGATTCTTTAGTAAAGAGGAGAATCCACGAGAGATGTACGTCTTTATTACTGATGGCTCTAACAGGATATCAGGGATGAGGAAAGAAGAAGAGTGGATTAGAGAAACTCTGAGAGGACTATTAATCAACATAATTATCGAGGCAACCAACCCGAAAAGTTTCTAGCTAGAATTTATCATTTCTTCCCCGGTGAAAAGCTCGATAAACTGGATGATTGAAGACCTCCCCGTAGTTTTTAGGGTCAATCCAATGTAATGCCCATAAATAATTTGTATTAGCATCTTAAAAGTATCTATTGAACTTTTTTGTAAAACTCAACGATTATCCAATCAATTAATGAAATATACTTTTTTTCTCAAATGGAAATCACTTTCATTCTTCGTATTTTGCATTATGTTTTTTGCATCATATTCTTTATTCTATATTCTTTATTCTTTCCATTCCAATATATCCGAGCAAAATTCATGCAGATGTCACAATAATACTAGCATAACTGTTCCTAAGGCCAGTTGCAAGATAAATTTTGAGCTACCATTATGTCTAGAAGAAGTCAATGAGTGCAAAGATGAAGAAGATTGTGAAGTCCCTAATGAGCTTTAAGATTGGTGGAAAGAGATGAAAAATAGATTCTACCCCAAGGAAGAAACAAAGCGCAAGAATTTAGGAACAGTGGTTGTATAGAGAGAAGTAAAAATCGGCATACTCTATCCGTAGAAATAAGGCTAGATTTGATAAGTTTGCTCCAGGAGTTTAAAGACGTCTTTGCATGGTCGTATCAAGATATGCCAGGGCTGAGCTCTGATATAGTAGTCCACACATTACCCATTAAGCCAGAATGCAAACCAGTTCACAAAAACTCAGAAGAATGAAACTGAAGATGTTATTAAAGATTAAAGAGGAGGTAACAAAACAGATCGATGTAGGTTTTCCTTGGGAGGCAGAATACCAAGAATGGGTATCAAATATAGTTATGGTACCTAAGAATGATGGGAAAGTCCGCATGTGCGTCAATTATTGAGACCTTAACAAGGCTAACCCGAAGGATAATTTTCCCTTACCTCATATAGACACAATGGTGGACAATACTGCGGGGCATTCTTGGTTTTCCTTTATGGATGGCTTCTCAGGGTATAATCAGATCAAAATAAACCCTGAGGACATGGAGAAAACGATGTTTATAACAGTGTGGGTAACTTTTGCTATAAGGTGATGTCATTCGGGAAAAATATAGGGGTAACTATCAAAGAACCATGGTAACTCTCTTCCACGACATGATACACAAGGAAATAAAAGTATACGTAGATGATATGATTGCCAAGTCCCGAACGGAAGTACAACATGTACAGTTCCAAAGATTAAGGAAATATCAACTAAAGCTCAATCCAGCCAAATATACGTTTGGAGTAAAATCAGGGAAACTACTGGGCTTCGTGGTAAGCCAGAAAAGAATCGATATCGATCCATATAAGGTCAAGGCAATTCAAGACCTTCCAGTACCTCGCACAAAGAAAGAAGTTGAGGTTCCTGGAAAGACTAAATTATATATCGCGATTCATTTATCAGCTGACCAATAACTGCGATCCGATATTCAAATTGCTCAAAAGGAATAATCCAGAGGTATGGAATAACGAATGCCAGGTGACTTTGGAAATCATCAAGAAATATATCAAATGCCCCCATATTAGTAGCACCAGTACCCGACAGACCGCTAATTCTCTACTTAATGATTTTCAAGAATTCAATGGTTGTGCACTAGGGCAACACGACGAGTCTGGAAGAAAAAAATAGCTATTTATTACTTGAGCAAGATGTTTACCAATTACAAGACTCGATACCCACGATTCAAAAGCTGAGTTGTGCCTTAGTTTGGGCTACCCGGAGGCTCAGCGGTACATGTTACATACCACATGGTTGATATCAAGGATGGTCCACTAAAAATTGGATGGAGTCCCCTACTCTGGCTGGCAGACTTGCTAGATGCAGATGTTGTAATATGAGTTTGATATTGTCTATGTGAGCCAAAGGCAATAAAAGGAAGCGCCATAGCAGACTTTCTTGCAAGTCGTGCCTTTGAGGACTATGAATCTCTTAACTTTAATTTCCCATACGAGGATTTGATGTGCATCTCTACCGATGAAGAGAGCTCTGGGGGCAACAAATCCTGGACCTTGTACTTTGATGGTGCCTCTAACGCATTAGGAAATGGAATTGGGGCAGTATTGATTTCCCCATAGGATATTTATTATCCTTTCACAAGCATATTAGAATTCTTTTGCACCAATAACATGGCCAAATACGAAGCTTGCATTATGGGATTAAAATCATCCATTGAAAGAAAGGTAAAAACGCTCAAAGTATATGGATATTCCTCGCTAATGGTGTACCAACTAAGGGGAGAATGAGAGACAAGACCCGAAGCTAGTCGAATATCAAACTTTGGTCCAAAACTACTAACGAATTTAAGAATGTCACATTCAATATCTACCCCGAGAAGACAATCAAATGGCATATGCCTTGGCTACCTTAGCTACAATGTTTAAAGCTAATAAGAGAACGAACATGATGCCAATAAGGATGCAATCATACGAGACCCTGACCCACTACTGTCACCTAGAGGAAGAAGTGGATGTCCAGCCATGGTACCACAATATCTTACAGTATATGACATACCAGACGTATCCTCCCAGTGCATATGAAATTGACAAGAAAACAATAAGAAGAATGACAGTCATATACTTCCTTGATGGGGAAATCTTGTACAAAGGGGCAATGACAAAGTTTTACTAAGATATGTATTGCCAAAGATGCAAAAAATGTGATAGAGGAGGTGCATGATGGAATGTACAGAACACATGCAAATAGTTTGTCCATGGCCAAAATTAAGAGACATGGATACTATTGGGCCACGAAGCATACAAATTACACCAATTACGTGAGAAGATGCAATAATGCCAGATATATGAGATAAAATTCAAGCACCACCTTCACCTTTGCACGTCATGAGCTCACCCTAGTCGTTCTCTATGTGGGGCATGAATGTCATTGGGGAAATCACACCGAAAACATTAAATGGGAACCGATTCATCTTAGTAGTAATCAATTACTTCACAAACTGGGTAGAGGTTGCTTCATATTCCAGTATCACGAGATCTACCTTTGCAGATTCATAAAGATGGAAATAATCTGTTGATACAGATTGCCAGAAAGAATCATCACATATAATGCTACTAATCTGAACAACAAGATTATGGATGAACTCTGTACGTAGTTCAAGATAAAGCATGCCACTTCGGTTACCTATCGCCCGAAAATGAATGGGGCAGTAGAAGCAACAAACAAGAACATCAAAAGGATCATTACGAAGACTATAGAAACTTACAGAGATTGGCACGAGAAATTACCCTTTGTCCTATATGGATATAGAACGATTATGCGAACATCGATAGGGGCAACGCCTTTCTCTCTAGTATATGGAATAGAGCTAGTCGTACCTATTGAGGTTGAAATTTCATCACTTCGAGTCTTGAAAGAAATAGAATTGGATGAAGCAGAATGGATTCAGTATATCCTTGATTAACTGAATCTTATTGAAGAGAAAAGGTTGAATGATATATGTCATGGGAAAATATACCAGAAGAGGATGATGAGAGCCCATGACAAGAAAGTACGCCCAAGAGATTTCAGAGAGAGGGATCTAGTATTGAAGAAGATTTTACCAATCCAGAAAGATTTCTGCGAAAAATGGATACCCAATTGGGAGAGGCTCTACGTTGTCAAAAGGCCTTCTCCGGGAGCTATGATTTAGTAGAGATGGATCGAATAATACTGAAACCCAATAAATCAGACTCTGTCAAGAAATATACGCCTAAGAATAAAAGGGA